TGAGCTCAGCACTGCTGGAGATTTGCGGGTAGATGCCACTAACAAAATGGCCCCTATGGAACTGCAAGCTAGAAAAATATCAACAGAAAGATCTCAAAGTATCTCTCAACAAGAAAAGAGAAGCACATTGGTCATCTTTAATTTTTATTTCTCTTCCTCCCTTATGTCCATAAGCCCAATAATAAAAAAGATCAATTTAGCCGAGACAAAATTCCAGATCATTAAGCAGACAAAGCAGAAAAGGACAGAAACTATCACTAAACTTTGAACATGATACTTTCCCTTCTACTTTTCACAAAGAAAAAAAGCTTCTACACACATATTCCCAACATCTAACCAAAGTAGTAAGACATAATTTAAAAATATGTATTTGTGGCTGGGCACAGTGGCTCATACCTGTAATCCTAGCACTCTGGGAGGCCGAGGCGGGAAGATTGCTTGAGGTCAGTAGTTGAGACCAGCCTGAGCAACAGTGAGACCCCGTGTCTACTAAAATTATAAAAGATTAGCTGGGTGTGGTGGTACACGCCTGTAGCCCCAGCTACTTGGGAAGCTAAAGCAGGATTGCCTGAGCCCAGTAGTTTGAGGTTGTTGTGAGATAGGCTGATGCCATGGCACTCTAATCCAGGCGACAGAGCAAGACTCTGTCTCAAAAAACAAAAAAAGTATTTGTTTGGTACACTCAGGTGTAGCTGGTATACTCCAAGCCCTATCTATCACTGAGAGTATCCAAAGATGAAAATGACAAAGCTCCCAATCTTAAGTAGCTACAATCTAGCTGGGAAGACAGACTGTTAACCACATTAAAATATAAATCTTAGACCTTGTCTGCTTTCAACTGAATCCTGTCAAATTATGGATATAATACTGTACTTCCAGCCTCATTTATTTGCTTATTCATTCAACAAATATTTATTGAGTCAGTGCCTATTGTGTACTACTTACTATACTAAGAATGGAAACACAAGGAAACAAAAACAGGGTCCTGTCTCGCTGAGCTTACATTTGAGAAGTCTACTGATGAAGTCTCTCTAGAAGTATTTTTGCCATTGGACAGTAGTATCTTCAAATTGTTACGTGCCCCAGTGAAGTGGACATGATGTGCCAATCTCCTTATTCAATCCCTGTGCAGGGAAGTCAATCCAGCCTAATTACCCTCTGCTAAAAACGCTTATTCCTGGTCACTCCCCTAAACTCTTGTTGAAATAAGGGCCCAGCCTTAATCATTATCAACATCTCTCTTCATCTAAGTTCCTACCAGCCCCTTTTTTCAAGGGTGGACCCTGTTTCTACATCAAATCAAAGAGTTTTCTGATATACATCTGTCAAACACTGATGACAAGAACCACTGCCAAAAAGTGACTAATATACCTCAATCCATTGTGGGCTCTTTATTGGAAGATTAGAGGGTAAAACAATTTAACATTTTGTAGTTGTTAACATTTTGTGTATCTCCTTTATAATTTCTGTGTGCTAAAATGGTTTTTAAGTTGAGATCTACATGTATAATTTGGCATCCTGCTTTTAATTCCTAATATATCAAAAGCATTTTATACTTATCATTCATCAACATATACCCATGAACATGTATTCACAACCTCCATTTTGATGTCTGTAGGGTGTTCTATCATTTGGCTGTGTCATAGTTTATTTGACCTTTTCCTACTATTGGACATTCAGGTTTATAATTTTTTTACCATCATAAATAAAGCTGTAATAAACATTTGAATGCAAATTTTATCTTCATTTTGTTTACCTCTCTGGCAGTGATTCTTAGAATAGAATTATGTGACCACGAGGTATGAATGTATATAAAGCCTTTAATGTATATGACCAAACTGCTTTCTGTAAAGGATGAAAGTTTATAAACATGCCACCTCATCACATCTTTTCAAGCATTCACTTAAAAAGGAAAAAAGATATCTTGACAGGTAAAAAAATTGTACGTTGTTTTAAGCTGCATTTCTTTGATTACTAATAGGGTTAAACATTTAAAACACATTTATTACCGTTTGAATTTCATCTCATCAACTACCTGATAAAATGCAACAAAATTTTATGCAAAAGAAATTAGCTTTTTGATTCTAAAAGGTTAA